GGCCCACGCTCATCGGCGGTGTCTCTATCCTCTCTTTCAACAGGGCTATCTCACTGTCCTCTCCAGCCCCCTCCGCAGACGGCAGACTAATCACTGTACACCTCAACTATTTGCGTGAGCAAATCCGCCTCATCGCCATTTACGCCCCCACACAATTCTACGGACGCAGAGTATGGTGGACCACCACACTCGTCCCGGCACTGGAAGCCCCCACCGCCGCCTCCGCATCCATGCTAGCAGGAGACTTCAACTCGGTCGTCCTCCCCATCGATAGGAATCGCCCTCCCAAAGACTTCGAGGCTCGAGAAGGCGCCTCATTTGCCAAACTCATGGAAAACCACGCCCTGATCGACACCTTCCGCGAACTCTTCCCCACGCCGACCAACGTCTTCTCCTTTTTCGGGAGGCAACGTCTCAATACTGCGACACCCCCCACCTCCTCCCGACTCGACAGAATATACATCTCTCGAGCTTTCATACCCCGCCTCACTGCAAGTCCGTACATCCAGACCCGCACGGCAATCACGGACCACCTCTACGCCCCTCTCTGCTCGCTCAGCTTCATCAACCCCACAGTTGCCCCCCGCCCCTGGCGCCTCCGACAGCATCTACTTATGCGCCCTCATGTCTCTCAAATCATCGACTCCTACCTCGCAATCTTCCCAAGCAATCCTTCCCCAGACTCCTGGGACTCATGGAAGCTCGACCTCACCCTTAACCTCAAACGCTTCTCCAACCAAGAACGGCGCCGCGTCGATGGCACAGTCGCACATCTGGAATATACCATCGGCTGACTTCAACGACATGCTGCGTATACGCCCCTGACCCAGGCCGAGTCTAACCGCCTTGACCAAGCAAGACTCCACCTGGCCAGGTATGAAGCCTCAAAAGCCTCCGAAATTGCGCTCAAGGCCAAGCTTAAAGTGGAAGGGCACAGGGAAATGGGAGTCTCCTCCCTTCTCTCTGGCCTCAACTCGCGAATCAAGGGCTCGATCATCAGCTCCCTGACCTTACCCAATGGACAAACAACGTCGGACCTCCCCACCATGACGAACCTGTGCTCCAACTTCTTCCAGACACTTTACAGCGGGAACAACCCCGCCTCCGTAAACTCGGCCTTCTGGCAACACATCCCTCCCTCCTCCATCCCGAACCCCCTACTCCTACGCCTCGGCGCCCCCTTCTCCCTAGCTGAAATTGGAAAAGCACTACTCTCTCTGTCCCGAGGAAAAACCCCCGGCCCAGACGGTCTGCCCGGGGAACTCTTTCGGCAATTCGCCCCACGATTTGCACCGGTCTTCCATTCCCTGCTCTCCCCTCCGCAACCTCTCTCTCGCTTACCCCCGTCTATGCTGACCGGACGCACCGTCCTCATCCCCAAACGGGGTGACTCCTCGCTCGTAGAAAATCTTCGCCCCATCACCCTCATGAACGCTGATTACAAGATACTCGCGCTGTGTCTTGCTAACCGCCTCCAGCTCGTTCTTCCCCAGATCATCCACCCGTCCCAAACCGCCTTCATCAAACACAGGAAAATTGGAGACACAATCAACGACACCCTTGACATCATGGACTGGGCAGCATTCTCATCAACCCCTCTCCTCGCTCTTACGGTAGACTTTCGAAAGGCCTACGACCTGGTCGACCGCCCCTTTCTCCTCCAAGCCTTAGCGGTCCTAGGGATTCCAGCTCCCTTCATACATTGGGTACGACTAATGCACTCCGACACGAACACACGAATCTCCGTCAACAACATGCTCGGCCCAACCTTCCCTGTCCGTACGGGCGTCCGACAGGGTTGTCCTCTGGCACCTCTTCTTTTCGTCTGTGTCATAGAGATCTTCCACCGATACATGTCTCTCTTCCTACCCGGCTTCTCTCTGTCTCCCGTCCAGCGCCGACTCATGGCATGTTACGCGGACGATGTCACTCTCTTCCTCACCTCAGACACAGAGCTCGGCCTCGCAGTGATACTCCTCGGCGTCTTCGGTTCCGTGTCTGGGGAGGTACCCAATTGGAACAAGTGCTCTATTATTCCCTTCAATATTCCCCCCACTGATCTCGCGCATGACGGGCCTATCCCCGTCCGAGCCCCCAGCGAAGCAGAACGCATCCTTGGAATTTATGTTGAACGATTACACCCCGGATCCACCACCTGGACTAAGGCTCTCGCCCGTATACAAAACACCGCCAAATTCCTGGCGGCCTTACATGCCACTGTCACGTGCCGCAAATCTCTGTCATCGATCTTTCTGAACTCCGTCATCTCCTATCCCGGCCGCTTCCAACCTGCTCCACTGAACATCATCAAACGAATTGACATATCAGTTGGGAACTTCCTCTCGTCCTCAAAACATAAACAGGACGGCCTCGCACAACGCTTCCTCCCCAATGGCCTCCTTTACAACTCACCCCAAGACGGTGGGGTTGGTGCGATCGCCCCATCTACCCAAAGCCCTCGCTATCCAACGTGCACTACGCAGATTTGGACCCACCCCGTCCGAGGAAGTCACAAGGACCCTGACCCCGTTCCCCTTCGGGCTACATGGTCTGCTCTCCCATAAAGCCATCCTTGAACGTGACTATCTTACCTCCTTCATCCCCCCTCGGGCAGTGGATGAACTTAAAACCCTCCTCGCTCTTCCCCTGGTTATCCATGGCCCACCCCTACGCATGCAATGCATCCTCACCGAACCTCTCGCCTTCAACCGGTTGCTCCTCAAACCCGACGAGCGACCTTTCGGCACCCGCCAACACGAGCGATTCCTGCTTACAGGACAGCTCCGCATCGGACACATTGTCCGAATCACCACCTTCAACGTCAGCCCTATCTCTGCTTAGGAGTTCTGCTCCCAACTCCCGGAGGAATTTCACGATGACGCCACACGCCTCCTCCCAGATCTCATCAACGCTATCAAGCCTCCCTGGTGGGCCGGCCTCCGATCCCCTCACTCCTCCTCTGCCTCCCTTGGAGATTGGTTCATGCCCTCGGATGACCACTACTCCATATCTCACCTCGCTATCCAGGTCGTCGCTTTCATCCCCCCCTCTACCGTCTCGGCTACTGTCCACCCCGTCTCGCCCAACCATCGCATCGGCCGTACCCCAATCAAAACCGGACTCTTCCGTTTACAAGACCTCATTGAGGTGTATGTCAGGGAATGGTGGCTCGCAGGGCCACTTCACACAGGGACAGGGTTAGGAGCTAGGGTAGAACTTCTACAGGACGGCACCCCCAGCCTCGCCGACATCCGCCGTCTCCTCTACTCCACACAGCCGCTTACTCACCACAGTCGATGGACCCGAGACCTCACCCTTCCTCCTCCCCCTCTCCCTGGCCTTAAGGACCCCTTTCTCAAAGACCAGCCGAGCCGCCAACGGGATATCCTCTTCAGACTCTACACACTAACTCTCCCCTCTGGATCACGCTTCCAATATTTTGACGACCGAGGGGTTTGCCCCCGGTGTCCTGCTGCTGTTATAGAGACACTGCCGCATATCTTCTTCGAATGCGCCTCCGCCGGAAATGTCATCTCTGCTCTGCGCACAGTCGCTGACCGTCACCTCGGACAAACCGCCCCCGCCGAACACATCTTCTTCCCGCCACAGTCACGGGTTGGACAGTCCCCCCCATGAAGCCTAATAGTAGGAGCAGCAGCCAAGACGCTGTGGAACAGTCGCTGTGACCACAGGTACCGCAACTCCTCCTCCTCGAGCTTCGAGATACTGCAGCTCATCTTAGCCCAGTTCCTCATCGCCTTCAAAATTTACATGTGGAGAGGCAAACGCCAATCGGCCAAGAAACGTCAACGTATATCATCCAGCATCAAGCGAGCACAGAAACTCCGCTTTCTCCTCTTCGACAGGACCGGCACACCCTCTATCCACCCCGACCTAAGGTTCTCCTGACTCTTGGGAAACCCGTTCCGACCACCATAGTCATCCATCGCATAGAGCGTCTCCCCAGGCAGCTGGCGGTTGTCCGCGAGGACAAGGAATAACGTGTGTTCTACGTGCTCCACTGCGAATGCTGGCCACCTCGGCCATGTTTCTATACTGCTCTATGGATTACTCTTTGTACTTTACGATCAATATATAACCTTAACCTTAACCTCTCACGCTTCTTCCCCTCCTCCACTCAACCACCTCCCTCCTCTCAACTCCAAATTACTTCTTTCTCTCGTACGTGCATAATTCCTTCCTAGAAGTCGCAGCCTGCAAATGTCGGTGCCAGTTTGAAAATTAGTTTCTCCGCGTCTCAATCTCAAACGAGTCTCGGAGAAGGGATTGCAGAGGGAGGGGACGGAGAGCTCCCCTACTTGCCGCCTTCTTGCAATGCGCAAAAGCTCGCGGCGGTTCAGCGATATTAACAATCGCGTATTCGTCGTAGCCTGGACGCGTTGAACTACTCTGCCTGACGATAGCTCTCGGAATTGCGGTAAGAAAGAATAAGGGGAGCTTGGTACTTTGAGATGTACTACACTCGTGCTTAAGAAGGTTCAATCTTCTACTAGTTTGCTCAGTAAACGACGCAATGTTTAAAAAAAAAATCGTGTTTTTCCTTATTTGAGCTCCCCATTCCCCTACGTGTATCTGCAGAGACACGCGGAGCTCCCGCGGGAATCTGCGAGTGGCTCCCGCAATCTGCGAGCTCGTGGCTCGCTCGAGCAGTAGAGCATGTGAGGGAGCAGCGCGGGGGCCTCCGCGAGGAGCGGCGGGAAAAGCTCCGCCCAAATAGGCCGATGCAGCGCTGTGGCGATGCACGGCGCTGCTAACTCTGCTGGCGGCGAGCGCGACGCCCGCAGGCTCTGCGGGTGGCTAGCGAGGCGCTGCGTCGCACGGTTCTTGGCACGTGAGCATGGCCTCTCCTCTCGCAGTTATTTATTTTTTCATTCTAGTAGCGACTTTCGCTATCCATTTCTTATTAGCATGTGTGTCGAGTTTGTTTTTACTGCCCTCGTTTCACGTACCCATTTTCTCAGTCCATGCCCGTTTCCGCGCTACAGGCGGAAGAACGGAGCTCCTCCGCGCCGCAGGCGGAAGAACGGAGCTCCTCCGCGCCGCAAGCGGAAGAACGGAGCTCCTCCGCGCCGCAGACGGAAGAACGGAGCTCCTCCGTGCCGCAGGCGGAAGAACGGAGCTCCTCCGCACCGCAGGCGGAAGAACGGAGCTCCTCCGCGCCGCAGGCGGAAGAAAGGAGCTCCTCCGCACCGCAGGCGGAAGAACGGAGCTCCTCCGCGCCGCAGGCGGAAGAACGGAGCTCCTCCGCGCCGCAGGCGGAAGATCGGAGCTCTTCCGCGCCGCAGGCGGAAGATCGGAGCTCTTCCGCGCTGCAGGCGGAAGAACGAAGCTCTTCCGCGCTCCAGGCGGAAGACCGGAGGCTTCCGCTGCTGAGTCATTCCCGCTTTCGAATTGAACTTCTCGTTCCTCCCCCTTGTTCTGCCCCGCTCGTTCCATGGCCCCCACCCCCCTCCAGCCGTTGCAGGCGGAAGGTCGGAGCGCTTCCACGGTGCAGGCGGAAGGTCGGAGCGCTTCCGCGGTGCAGGCGGAAGGTCGGAGCGCTTCCGCGGTGCAGGCGGAAGGTCGGAGCGCTTCCGCGGTGCAGGCGGAAGGTCGGAGCGCTTCCGCGGTGCAGGCGGAAGGTCGGAGCGCTTCCGCGGTGCAGGCGGAAGGTCGGAGCGCTTCCGCGGTGCAGGCGGAAGGTCGGAGCGCTTCCGCGGTGCAGGCGGAAGGTCGGAGCGCTTCCGCGGTGCAGGCGGAAGGTCGGAGCGCTTCCGCGGTGCAGGCGGAAGGTCGGAGCGCTTCCGCGGTGCAGGCGGAAGGTCGGAGCGCTTCCGCGCTGCAGGCGGAAGGTCGGAGCGCTTCCGCGCTGCAGGCGGAAGGTCGGAGCGCTTCCGCGCTGCAGGCGGAAGGTCGGAGCGCTTCCGCGCTGCAGGCGGAAGGTCGGAGCGCTTCCGCGGTGCAGGCGGAAGGTCGGAGCGCTTCCGCGGTGCAGGCGGAAGGTCGGAGCGCTTCCGCGCTGCAGGCGGAAGGTCGGAGCGCTTCCGCGCTGCAGGCGGAAGGTCGGAGCGCTTCCGCGCTGCAGGCGGAAGGTCGGAGCGCTTCCGCGCTGCAGGCGGAAGGTCGGAGCGCTTCCGCGCTGCAGGCGGAAGGTCGGAGCGCTTCCGCGGTGCAGGCGGAAGGTCGGAGCGCTTCCGCGGTGCAGGCGGAAGGTCGGAGCGCTTCCGTGCTGCAGGCGGCAGGTCGGAGCGCTTCCGCGCTGCAGGCGGAAGGTCGGAGCGCTTCCGCGCTGCAGGCGGAAGGTCGGAGCGCTTCCGCGCTGCAGGCGGAAGGTCGGAGCGCTTCCGCGGTGCAGGCGGAAGGTCGGAGCGCTTCCGCGCTGCAGGCGGAAGGTCGGAGCGCTTCCGCGCTGCAGGCGGAAGGTCGGAGCGCTTTCGCGCTTCATGAGCGTGAGCCCCTTTCCAAACATCTCGTGAATTTCTGTTTACCCCCTTCCCCCCGCCACTGAGTTTTTGTCCCCTCGCGCCATCCCCCTCCCTTCCCCTTCCCCTCTTCCGCAACTACTCCTTTTCCACCCTGATCCGCGCCCCTCCCCGCCATTTCCGCATTTCCCTCATCCCCTCTCTCTCCTCTATGCCCTCTCCCCTCTCTCTCCCGGCTCTTCATCTCTTTCCCCTACCCTCCGCTTCCCTCCCCCCTTCCCACCCCGATCACTCTCGCTCCCCTCTCCGTTTCCAGCCCTCGCTTTCGTTTCCTCTCCTTCGCGCACCTTGTGGTAACTCTGTAACGCATTGATCTCGCCCATTCTTTTTCCGTTCCCGTTCTCCTTGTGCATCATGTTCCCCTTTCCGCTTTTCCCCCTGCCGCCTCCCCTTGCTCCCCCGTAGCGTAGCGTAACCCCTATTCCCGTTTCCTCTCTCCCTGTTTCTCCTCTCCCTGTTTTCTCCTATGGACGCCATGACGATATTCCCTTGCAATGTGTGGAATGATACAAGTTATTGATATGATGACAATAGGCTCGGCACAGGCACGTGTGAGGCTCGGCACAGCCAGGCGAGGGTTGGCACAGCCAGGCGTGGTGAGAGGCTCGGCACAGCCAGGCGTGGTGAGAGGCTCGGCACAGCCAGGCGTGGTGAGAGGCTCGGCGCAGCCAGGTGAGAGGCTCGGCACAGTCAGGTGAGAGGCTCGGCACAGTCAGGTGAGAGGCTCGGCACAGTCAGGTGAGAGGCTCGGCACAGCTGGGTGAGAGGCTCGGCACAGCTGGGTGAGAGGCTCAGCACAGCCAGGTGAGGGTCGGCTCGCTGCTGCTTGAACTCTCCCATTCACCTCTCTGGTGCCAGCCTCGAAGATGCGATGATAAAGATAGAATAATAGGAGTCATTAGGAGTTTTTGATATGTATGCTTGTATGTAACATCACACATGAGCTAGTCTGGCCAGGTCCGTCCTGGCCAGGCTCGGGGAGATAGGGTCGGTTCGGCCTAGGTCCGGGAGGGGGGGAGGGGGAGGAGGTCTGATTGGGCCAAATACAGATACAGATACAGTGACAGTGACCGAAACAGGGACAAATACAGACACAGGGACAAAAACGGAAGGCAAACAGGGACAGAAGCGAGGTCAGGGACAGAGCGTAAATGGAAGACAAACAGGGAGAGAAGCAGCAGGGACAGGGAGAGGGACACACCAACAGCCGACAGAAACAGGAATGGAAGACAATGAGAGAGAAGCAGGGACAGGGAGACGGATGGAAAGAGGCCAGATGTGAGGCCTACATGGCCTTTTGGCAGGTGGTGCCTGTGTGTGACTCGGCCAGGCCAGCCAAGCGATTTGAGGGGGCTGTGTGGGGGGGGGGGGGGAGGGCTGTGTTGGGGGGGGGTGTGTATGGGGGGCTGTGTGGGGGGGCTGTGAGGGGGGCTGTGAGGGGCGTTGGGGGGTAGGGGGCCCTTCGGGGGGGTCATGGAGGGGTTTTCACTCGCTTCTCGTTATTATCACTCTTGTTGTCCACTTTCTGCATCCTAGTACCATGGTCCTCTGTTATTATCTATTGTTTTTAAACCTTCAAGGTTGAGATGTTGTATTGTCTTGGGGGAAGAAGCAATGAGCTGGTGTGGTGATAGGGCACAGACACCAAGCAGGTTGGAATCAGCAGCCCCTCCCTTCCCTCCTGCTTGATGTTTCTCCACATGATATATGATTCTATTTACGGTAAACAAAGCAACAAGCCAGTCCACAACCTATTTACAGTACAATCATACCCATTGTTAAGATTCCTAAACATGTCAATCTTGCGACGGTATCTCTTGGTGATCAACATGCCGCATGTATCTCCGCGCTTCACACTGTACAATCGCTTGGTTGAACATGTATTGCCAGATAACGGCCGGCCGTCAACACTAGCCACACAAATCTGTGAGTCAACCATCAGTGAGGAACAGGATGGAAGGGGAAGAAAAATAAACTGCCTTGAATAACCTTCACACACAGAGGCAGAGACAGAGACAGAGGCAAGACATCGACAGCGGCACCAGACACAGGCACAGGCACAGGCACAAGCACAGGTACTATTTGCAGCGTATAGCGTATAACCTCCTTCCACTCCACCCCACACACAGACCTTCCCGACTCACCCTTCTCATCATATTGCCCTGCAGGGGGCTGTAGGGCAGCAGCGAGTCGCACAAGAGGTCAAGATTCAACTGGAAGAAGCGCATCGGACTTCTTGCTCCTCCCTCAGCCCACAACTCACACCCGCAACCGCTCGACTCTCACCCTCCCAGCCCAACTCACCCTTCTCATCATGTTGCCCTGCAGGGGGCTGTGCGGCAGCAGCGAGTTGCACGAGAGGCCGGGGTTCATCTGGAAGAAGCGCGTGGGGGAGGCGATGGCAAACGCCCGCCACAGCTGCTGGCAGGTCTGCGGGCCCTGGAGGACCGTCACGAGCACACCTACGCTCGTGTAGTTGGCTAGAGGCGGAGGAGGAGGGGGTGGTTGAGGGCTGGGTGAGGTTGTGGGCGGGGTTTGTGTCACGGCTGGGGTGATTTGGGCCTGGAGCTTGCATGATATGCGGGTCATTCCCTCTTCTAGCCACGTCTGGTTGAGGGATACACAGAGGAGCTGGGAAGGAGGGAGGGAGGAGAATGGGGGAGAGGGGGGAGAAGGGGGAGAAGAGGGGGAGTGGGGAGAGGAATGTGTGAAATGATGTGAGATCGGGTTCTGAGACTTTGGAGAACAAACTACCCTAACAACCTGTCATTGCAGCAGCTTCTGTTACCAGCGCACCTGCATTCTTGTCAGCCATCTACACTCACCTTCACCCACCTACACCCACCTCGACCCACCTACGCTCACCAACACCCACCTACACCCCCCGAGACCCACCAACACATACCTGCAACCACAAGCACTCACCTGCACCTGCATCCACACTCACGTGCCCTCACCTAACTCACTTGCACCCATCTGCACCGATGCTCACCTGGCCGGGTCTGGGCCCATCAGAGCAGGTGAGGGCGGGGTTGAGCGGCTGTATCTGCGTGGAGAAGAGGGCGTTGAGTGAGTCACACGTGTCACCCTGCACACGCATGTCAGGTATAGGAGGAGTGGAAGAGGAAGCGTGGTTACTGGAAGGATTGAGTTGAGTGGCTGTAACTGCGTGGAGAAGAGGGCGTTGCGTGAGTCACACGTGTCACCCTGCACACGCATGTCAGGTATAGGAGGAGTGGAAGAGGAAGCGTGGTTACTGGAAGGATTGAGTTGAGTGGCTGTATCTGCGTGGAGAAGAGGGCGTTGAGTGAGTCACACGTGTCGCCCTGCACACACATGTCAGGTATAGGAGGAGTTGAAGAGGAAGCGTGGTTACTGGAAGGATTGAGTTGAGTGGCTGTAACTGCGTGGAGAAGAGGGCGTTGCGTGAGTCACACGTGTCACCCTGCACACGCATGTCAGGTATAGGAGGAGTGGAAGAGGAAGCGTGGTTACTGGAAGGATTGAGTTGAGTGGCTGTATCTGCGTGGAGAAGAGGGCGTTGCGTGAGTCACGTGTCACCCTGCCGGCACACAGGGAAATAGGCGAGTGAGTGTCTGGGAAAGAGACGAGGGGGTTTGAAGGGAGAAGGCACGTGGAGGGAGAAGGCACGTGGAGGGAAGGGGCAGATGGAGGAAGTGGGAAATGCAAACACAGGTGGCAATTCAGAGTGAGCAGTGAAGCGGGGTTAAGTTTTGAGATTAGGCTCAAAGGCGCTTACATAAACACACTGGGGTTTACACAAACGCACTGGCACTTGGATAAGCGCACTGGAACTTGGAATAAGGCACTGGAAACTACTTCAACACACCGGCACTTACATAATTAGCAGTGTACATGGCAGTGCATTGGGAGAAAGCCCGGCTGGTGACGTTAACAAGAGTGCCTACAGGGATGGGCGCTCGGCACTGGAACCCCTGCAGTCAGAACAAGGAGACATAGAGGAGAGGATTGGTCAGAACATGGGTATCTGACAGAAAAGAAACACTAAACAGGCAAGACGGGAAGGGGGGTATGGGTTTGGACGCTCTGCTGTTACAAGGAGAGATTCGAACGAGGCAGGCCGAATGGGTGGTGGGAAGAATGAGCGGAAAGTGAGGAGCAGTGAGAGAAAGTGAGGGGGGGTGGGTGGAAGCGAGGGGAATTGAGTTGAAGTGAGGGGCAGAGAGGGGAAGTGAGAGAAACTGAAGGGCAATGTGTGGCGATGAGGGGAAGTGTGGCTGTGCCGTGACCAGAAAGGGGAAATATTGAGCTTTCAGACGGACCTTGTTTTGGCTCCAGAATTCCGCTTGGGAGAGCCCATAGGTGTTGAGTTGAGGATGAGAGAGCATGTGATGTGATGTGATGCGATGCCACACAATGTGCTGCGAGATGAATGTGCTGTGAGATGAATGTGCTGAGCTGAACTAAACACAGCCCCTTTAACCAAAGCCCACCAAAGCCCTCCTGAGCTTGTTTTGGTTGAAGAAGTCTGCTTGGGTGAGCCCATAATTGTTGAGGATGAGCGGGCATGGGACATGGAATGTCCTGACCCCAATCAATCTACAGCTTGAACCTTCCTTCAGTCCAATGTCAGACCTTGTTTTGGCTGAAGAAGTCTGCTTGGGTGAGCCCGTACGTGTTGAGGATGAGCGCGCATGTGAGGCCGTAGGGCGACAGGAAGGTGGGCATTCGAGTCTCAGCCAATCGCACTGCATGCACGGGGGGTAGGCATGCACGGGGTAGGCATGCATGGGGTAGGCATGCATGGGGTAGGCATGCATGGGGTAATAACGAGAACGATATAAGTCCACGTGATGAGCCCATAAGAAGTAAACACAGGAGACACGAGGTCCATGTGATGTGATGAGAGCCATGACGATAAGAGCTATCGGATGGGCCATGTGATAGAAGTAGCGTTTTGAAATGTCTCAAAATACGAGGTGCATGTGATGAGAGCCATGACGATACGAGCTATCGGATGGGCCATGTGATAGAAGTGGCGTTTTGAAATGTCTCAAAATACGAGGTGCATGTGATGAGAGCCATGACGATAAGAGCCATCGGATGGGCTGAGATAGAACAGGCACACATGTGAGAGAGGGGCATGTGAGAGAGGGGCATGTGAGAGTTGGGCGTATGACAGTGGGGCGTGTGAGAGCGGTGACGTGTGAGAGCGGTGACGTGTGAGAGCGGTGACGTGTGAGGGGTGTGTGTGAGAAGAGGGGGTAGGCGAGGGGTCAGAGGCATGAGCTGAAAATCAAACCTTGTTTAAGACCATCTGACCATGTGGTACGCACAATGGTAACAGCGGGCAGCGCCTTTGGGGTAAAAGTAGAAGGGGAAGTAGGGCGAGGGGCAGAGGCAGGAGTAGGTGCCATCTATGTCATCAATGCACACCCCCGGGGCACACGGGTTGCGGGGGAACTGGCGACATGTGAAGGAATCTGGTTTAGGGAGGGCGAGGGAAGGGGAAAGACAATCGGGGAAGCAGAGTGGGAAGAGAGCAAGAGTGAGTGAGCAGCAGACTAGGACACCATTGATGCACATCCCAAAGGGCACATGGGATAAAGGTAGAGTTTTGAGACGTCTCACAACTCTACTTATATCAAGTGCGTGAGCAGCAGACTAGGATACCATTGATGCACATCCCATGTGCCCCTGGGATGTGCATGACCAATTGGGCTTGCCTCACTACCAAATGCTCACCCACCACACTCTGCCTCTCACCCACCATGCTCCACCTCTAACCTACCGCACTCCACCTCTCACCTACTGCACTCCACCTCTCACCTACTGCACTCCACTTCTCACCTACTGCACTCCACCTCTCACCTACCACACTCCACCTCTCACCCACCTACCGCTCTCCGCCTCTTGCCTACCTCAGTCCACGGCTCACCAGGGAAGCAGGAGGGCAGGCCGGCAAGGTGGGAGGGTTGGAAGGAGGGGAGCTTCAAGGGGCACTTGCAGGAGGGCACGAGGATAGACGGGTCCCACGGGGCACGTGCCTTGGTGCATGCACCCGTGCCACAGGGCTGCACGGGAGAGGCCTTGCAGGGGTCGGTGTCTGTTGGGGGAGCGGGGGGAAGGGGGAAGGGAGGGGGGAGGAGGATGGGAAGGGGGAGTGTGCGGAGGTATGAGGCAGGAGGAGAGAGAGGTCCAGGTATGAGACAGCAAATGCCTTGAAGCATGCAACCATGGAACAGAGGAGCACTGGAGAGGCGTTGCAGGGGATACGCGGGGGTTCGTGGGGTTACAATAACGAAAATCCTCCCTCCCCTCTTCCTACCTCTTCAGAGCAGGCACGTGGCTTGCTACCCCTCCCCCTCCTTCCCTCCCCCCCAGCTCCCCCCCTTCCCCCTCCCTGCCCGTGAATCGGAAGGCCCAGGAGGAGAGGGTGACAGGGGCAGGGCATGTGGCTTGCTACCCCTAAGCCCTTAACGATAAACTCGAAACCCTAAATCCTGGCTTGCTACCCCTCCCCTCTTTCCCTCCCCCCATCTCGACCCATTCCCCTCCCCCCTACCTGTGAATCGGAAGGTCCAGGAGGAGAGGGCGACGGGGGAAGGCAGGCGGCCAGGGGGGGGAGGGAGGGCAGCGCTGGTGAACCCAACGACCAGCTGCCCGAACGATGGCGACCATAGGTCCGTTGCACTGCTGCTGTCACTGCTGCTGCTGCTGCCACTTGTGGTGGTGGTGCTGGTGTTTCTGCTGTTGCTGCTGCTGCCGCTACCAGTGCCGCCGCTGCTGCTTGTGCTTGTGTCAGGGCCCCCAGTGAGAGCAGCACAGAGGTCAAGGGAGACTTTCATGCTGCCTACTAGAACAGGGGGTTGGTACCATCTGATCAGCATCTCCTTGCTCCTCCCGTGATAGTCAACCCTCATCTGCAACACCTCCTCTGCCTCCACCACATTTGACACCTCCTCCTCGAAAATCGAAGTCATGTTGAAATCGGTGTTAACGCCTATGTGATAAGCATTTGGATCGTCAGTTTCCGGGTTTGTTACAGCCTGTGGGTGCCATAGCACAGCTACACTCCGCGCGCCGTCCGGCCAGCTGCCGTTAGTGAGTCGCGAGGATGGGTCCCGGCCGTACCCCATATAAGCCCCGCCTAGGCCCACGCTCGCATGTGTGCTTATAACGAATGCGAGTCCATGGGAAGCGGATACATTTATGGAAAAGCCGTATGTGAAGGTGAAAGAGCGAGCCATGCAGATGGGGGGTTCGGTTGCTGTGGGTTGGGGAGGGGAGGAGGAAGGAGAGGAATGGGGGGAGCTGCGGGGACGACGAGGAGGAGGAGGAGGAGGAGGGAAGGGAGGGGAGGAGGAGTAGAGGAGGGGGAGACGGCGAGGGAAGTAGATGGCTCCAGGGGCGGGATCGTCTGATTGGCCACTGGATGATGCCACGTCAGCAGCGACCGAGAGATCAGCGGCAAAGAATCGCTTCCTGGTGCTGCCACGTGTCAGCAGGGGAGTGGCTGGCGTGATGTAGGGGAAGGAGAACGAGTCTGCCGCCCAAAACGGAAGCTGATCCTCCGCTGCTGGGGTTGGCATGGTATGGGGGCGGGGGCAGTGGGGGGAGGGTTAGGCATGAGTAAATGTTCAACCTTAGGCTAGGATGTGGACCGTGGGACACTGGAACTATGGCAGGTAGGTTCCATGGAGGTTCGCTCCTCCTTTTCACCACCCACCAAAACGGCAGCGAATTCGTTGCAGAAGGGGGTTGGCATTGTATGCTCCAGCATTCCACCCCCACTGATTCCTTCTCACCACCACCACCGCCCTTCCCCCTGCTCCTCTTGCCCTCCCCCTCTCCTCCCGACGACCATCCTGCTCCAGACAACCGCCTTGCTCCCATACCACTCCCCTTCTTCCCTCCCTTTCTCCCCCTTGCCGCCCCGCGTGTACCAGCACCACGGACGGTAGCAACACTCACAACAGTGCCCTCAAAAACCTCCCGGCTTTCTGCTCCTCCCACAGTCAGCACAGGTACATCCCCCGCTCCAACACCCGAGCCCTTTCCCAGTGCATCCTCCCCAATACATCCCCCCTCTCCCTCCCCATCCCCGTCCCCATCCTCCCTAATTTCGTGGCATTTCCCCTTCCCACTGCCAATCCCTGCTCCTCCTGTCTCCCTAGCAGCAAGCATCGCTGCTTTTCTCCCCTTGGGGCCCCACTCTCTACGAACATTCACCCTGCCACCACCAGCAGCAGCAGCAGCAGCAGCAGCAGCAGCAGCAGCAGCAGCAGCAGCAGCGGCAGCAGCGGCAGCAGCAGCAGCAGCAGCAGCAGCAGCAGCAGCAGCAGCAGCAGCAGCAGCAGCAGCAGCAACTCCAGCTGCTCCTCCTCTCCCTTTCCTCCCTGCAGCCGCCCCCCTCCCCACGCCTGCAGCAGCAGCCGCGCTTGCTGCTGCGATCTCCAGCTGTCGTATCCTCTCCCCCACCGTCCCTCTCACCCTGCCTTGCCCCATGCCCGCACCTCCTCCTCTCCCTCACCCTCCCGCCCTCCCACCCTCTCTCTTCCGCCTCGTTCTGCCTGGGGTCATCACAACCCCCGAGGTAAGGCCAGTATTTCCGCTCCCTATAACGAGGACAACGGTTTCCCCTGCGCCCATCTCCTCTTCTCCTTCTGTGCTTTCGAAGGTCACCCCCAGCCGTCTCTCCCCTCCACCATCTCCCTCCCCATCTGTATCCATCTCAACCGCATCAGAAAGAAGCGTGGCCGCTCCAAACGCCTGCCTTCCCTTCCCCGTTGCTCGTTTCGCTCTGCTTCTGCTGTTTCCCTCGCCATTGCCATTTCTCCTGCTCCCCCCGCTGCTGTCCAACCCGTTATTGTCACACCCTGATGCAAAACCCTCCCTGCTCGGCTCACCACCCATTAAAACGCCACAAGCACCGCATTCAACTCCTTCGTCTTCCCCGCTGCTTGAGCCCCAGCCCCCCTGCAACTCGCGCCTTCATTTCCCAAACACAGCAGCAGCGGTAGAAAACAGCAGTAGCAAACAGTAGAAAACAGCATCAGCAGCGGCAACCAGCATGGTTAGCAGCAGCAGCAAGAAGGAACAGCAACAACTGCAGCAGCAACATAATCAGCGGCAGCAAAACACCAGCAGCGGGGGACGCAGCAGCAGGAAGCAAACGTTAGCAGCACCAGAAGGGCGAAGAAAAGCAGTCAAAGGGCTCTACAAGAAGGGATCGAAGGGATTGAAACAGCTCCAGGGAGGGGTGATGTTGCACTCGCCTGCGCAATGATTGTCAGCGCCTTGTCAGCAGCGCCCCCCCTCTGCTTGAGCCCCAACTCGTTCTCCTCGTCGTCTGCGGAAACAGTGAAGGGGCAGGGGGGAAGGAAGTGAGGGGAGGGGAGGGGGCGCGTGGGTGGGTGAGTGAGCAAGTGATAGGAGGAAGGAGGCGGGCAAGGGAGGTAGCAGAAAACCCAGATATCGGTACCAGCACCATATGGAATCCGCAGCTTCACACGGTGACATGCAAAAACGCTGCAGGGGACATGCTTGGCTCTGTTGAGGCGAACATAAGAAACTTCTAACAGACTCTAAGAAGGAATTTGTCAAGCGTTTAACCCACCTGCATCCACGCATGCAGAATCGCAGCCATTCGCGAATGTCGTCTAGCAGCCCCGGAAAAAGCGCATGCATGTGTGTCACGCCATTGCCAGTGGCGCATCGACAGTGTTCCCAACACAGTGTGTTCTCATCACGTCATGGGCACCGCATCATCGACTGCCGCTACTACACCGCCGCGGGAAAGGCGCCGGCTCTTTTTTTGCAAGACGGCAGATGCGGCGACTGTTTTCACGTGACACATGCTGCCTGTCCGCAAATCGCGAACCGGCAAATTAGTACGAGTAGTAGTACTACTAATCGACGAGGCGCGCGAAGCGGCTTGCTGTGCTTGACCGCTGCCTCTGCTCCAGGAACCGGCGGCGTCGACGAGACTAGCACGCCGCCTGCAGCAGCCACACTGTGGCAGGAGCAAAGCGGCGTGGTCAACATGATAAACGTCGCTTGAAGCGATGACGTAAATAATCAGAAGTGATTCCATATCGAGACAGGAAGAAAACACAAGTACATAAGCGTGCATATCAGTCTAGGGGCTGGCGTACGTTAGAACAGCTAATACTACTACGACTACGACTAACGGTGCTAGTACCAACGACGGGCTGCATAGTACTAGGGTGGGTGGCGGCGCGATGAAGGTGATGTGAGAGGGAGTAGGTGATTTGGCGAAAGGGAGGAAATGCTGAAGCTCATGGGGCCCGTTGCCTTCTTACACCCATCTAGAAACCCTAATTTTCAAATCGCGGTTGAGAACGGTGGAAAAGCTGTCATCGTGCACTGAATTGAAGAGCACGACAAATGCTGGAAACGGACACGTGGCCCCCGCCCTTGGGTTTGTTCTCAACTGCCGGAGTCAACCTTCGAGCTCGCGCCAACAGTTGCTAACGTCAGATACAGAAACAAGCAGGGTGAGCGGGATCGGCGGGGGACACACACTACAGTGCGTTTCGGTACGGTTTAATAAAGGTTATAAGAGGTGAGGTGAGATGAGCTGAGGTGAGGTGGTGATATGGATTGCCCACCTGTCGTTACCGCGCAGAGCAGAAAGCGCCGCCAGATCAGCCCAAGCACTTCAAATTTTAAATACAGAGGACGAACAAAAAGTCGTGCTTTAGGTCAACGAAATAATAGATGGTTGTGGTGGGAGAGAAAACGCGCTGGATTTTAGCAAACTATCAAACGAACAATACAAACGACGTACAAAGACTGGGTGTGTAAAATAGAACAGATGTACAGTGCGAACCGGGAAGAAAATGGAGTAGCAGGTGCAAAACAAAACCAAAAAGAACAACTAACCAATACTGTACAAAAAAGACCAAGTTGGAATCCCCGAACCGAATCCCGATCAGAACCTGAATTCTAGGGCACACAACTGTACAGCATTGGCTTGCTGCTTTGTTTTGAAAGCCGACAGGTTGAGAACGGTGCTATCGTTAAAATCCGTTTCAGCCAAGCGCTCTGAATTGAATTGCGCGTCAGAAGGGACACGTGGACTGCACCTGTGGTTCTGTTCAGCTGTCGTCTGTGAAGCTCGCGAACCATCCTGTCTGCGCAGAAGCCAGCTCTAACCAAATGTAAAACTCGTGCGCCAGCTCTCTTAAAAGGCAGGGAGTGTGGCGAAATGAAATAAACATGGGGGTGGCGAAAAAACGGCCTACGTGATAGCAAAACACCATACGGGCTTTACAGAGCAGCAAAAATCGGGTGCGAGAACAATAACAGATGAGAGTCGCAAGGCCGAACAAAAACATACAGGGCAGCCAGAACAAACAACTAGTATCCCCGAAGTGCGAACAGACCCTGCAGTACAGTTGAGCGAGGTGAGGTGAGAAGGTACTGCAATGGTGAATCTGCCTGTCTGTCGTATGCACGCCGACACGAACTGAGTGCAACACAAAAAACAAAACCAAAGAAACAACACGAGAGGTGAACAATAACACGTGCCGCAGTTTCTGTCACAACGAAGGGGGGGTCTCCGAAAAAACGGGCTAGGTCTTAGCCAAACACCAACTGTCGCATTCAACTTTTAAGCAATTGCAAGCTTCAAGCTCGCAACGCCTCGCCAACAGTTTCGAACCGTAAAAGATGACAAACCAAAACAAAGGCCCTTGCGTTGCCCGACGTGAGGTGAACTTCAGGAGAAAAAAGTCGCCACGTGCGATTCCGTCCTACTTTGCACCTGTCGTGAGCGAGCTGATTCGCTCGCTAAGAGTGCAAACGGCGCGCAAAGCTTCGCTTTACTCACGGACCAATCCACCACCCTGATTTCAAGCTTCGTATTAGTGTCCTAGCCTCGGCGTAGCCAATTGATTGGCTGCAAACGTGAACAAAATGCAGCACTAACAGTGTTACGTGAACAATTTGCAGCCCAATCGTGTTTCGGTTTCCAGGCCCACAATGCCATGCAGTATACGTACAACAATATATATCATCATATACATACATAGCACAGAAACTTTAACCAGGTGCTAACAGATAGTTCATCACCTTATGCATAGGCACCCTCAAACTTAGCACTTCTTCGGCATGATTGACTACTTGTTATACTGACATTTACCAATAAATGTTTTCAAACCGGTCCCCCTCTCCGTGTAGAATACATTAAAAAACGGGTTTTGTAGTGCGCCTTTGAATGTCGCGTATGATCGATATCAAAATGCACATTTGCTGGTGGTGTGCATAGGTGTGTGGGTATTGATGAATGTGTCTCTATGTAGCAAATGTCCGTGTCAATCTCGGTGCTCGGATAGATTGTACCTACGCTACGGCAATGCACTGTTTGATCTTTTCTCGCATGGATAGTATGGAAATATTGGCAGGATGACTAACTAAGAGCCGGTCCCATTGCTCCGGCTCTTTTCATGCATGTCACAACACGTACCTGGGGTGGTTACGGTATGAGCTTGCTTATGGTATTTCCAGGTTTATGCTGGTGTGAAAGCAACGGACATGGCATCCTGTTTTGATTAACGGCAGAACTCTGTCATGGCACCATTGCATTTTGTTTCGACAAATGCATACAGTAAACCACAACACAAAGGCATTATGTTCCAAAAGGGGCAAAACTCTGTCACATACATACAGCACTAAGCTTGGGGAATGCCACCTGTAGCTACTGCTGAACACCAGCCCCCATCCCATCATCTCACCCTCTCACCACCCGCCCCATCCCATCATCTTACCCTCTCACAACCAGCCCCATCCCATCAGCTCACCCTCTCACCACCCGCCCCATCCCATCATCTTACCCTCTCAGCACCTGCTGCTGCTGCTTGTACAGTCTACTGCTGCTGCTTGTACAGTCTGCTGCTGCTGCTTGTACAGTCTACTGCTGCTGCTTGTACAGTCTACTGCTGCTGCTTGTACAGTCTACTGCTGCTGCTTGTACAGTCTGCTGCTGCTGCTTGTACAGTCTGCTGCTGCTGCTTGTACAGTCTACTGCTGCTGCTTGTACAGTCTACTGCTGCTGCTTGTACAGTCTACTGCTGCTGCTTGTACAGTCTACTGCTGCTGCTTGTACAGTCTACTGCTGCTGCTTGTACAGTCTACTGCTGCTGCTTGTACAGTCTGCTGCTGCTGCTTGTACAGTCTGCTGCTGCTGCTTGTACAGTCTGCTGCTGCTGCTTGTACAGTCTGCTGCTGCTGCTTGTACAGTCTACTGCTGCTGCTTGTACAGTCTACTGCTGCTGCTTGTACAGTCTACTGCTGCTGCTTGTTCAGTCTACTGCTGCTGCTTGTACAGTCTACTGCTGCTGCTTGTACAGTCTACTGCTGCTGCTTGTACAGTCTACTGCTGCTGCTTGTACAGTCTACTGCTGCTGCTTGTACAGTCTGCTGCTGCTGCTTGTACAGTCTGCTGCTGCTGCTTGTACAGTCTGCTGCTGCTGCTTGTACAG